AGCAATGGAAATGGGCCTCCCCCTCTACTCTAGGATGTTTACACATTCTCTGAAAAAGGAGAAGACATTTTTCTTATGCTTTTCGTGTACGGGATGGGATCTTACTTTTTGGGTTCTCATAGTGGTGTCCTCGCTACTGACTTGGGACTACTTCCCTCAGACCAGAAAGGACCTAGTTACCTACTTACTCAAGCTGTGAATTCTCATGAGGAAAGCAGCAACTTTATATTTATAGAAGGTAGATTAGTTCTTTCATATCCGAAGAGCCACACCTACTGCTAATAATGCCCCTCCTATGAGACCACTACTACTACTACAATTCCATCCTGGTGCATCAACCGTGGACAGATCAACCCACTCTCTCACTCAAATATGGATCTATATATCTTACTGCGCCCAGGTACATAGCCTTTCTTGGGAGAAAATAGGAGCGTATAATGTCAAACTTACGAATGAGAATTCCCGTTTGGTGGCTGAGGTGAAATCACTGAAGGAAGAGTCGGTCAAGCTTCAAAATAAGGTGGCAAAGTACAAACGTAAATTCGACTCTTCGGAGGCTAACGTCGAGATTGAAATAAAGAGGGCCAACGATGCTGCTCAAGAGGCTGCCCCCTATCTTCAATTAGAAGAGTATGTCAAGGCAGAAAAGGAGAGGATGGAGATCCAAAGTCCTTTCGACCTGGATGCCACCCTTCGTTCTTACAGGAGGGTGTATCGTGAGATCATTGACGATTTGCTGGGAGACTTTAGGGCACTGAAGGACCGGCTCGTGGACGAGGTCCAGGTGCCAAGGGAGCAGTTACCAGTGACTCCACCTCCTTCTGCCTTATCGGTTAGAGAGAATGAGGAGGAAGGCGAAGAAGTCGTGTCCCAGGTAGCTGAAGATGTCGCCCCCGGTGGGGTTCTTGAAGTTGGGCAGGCTAGCGGGAAGGGAAGCCTTTCATGATGTTTTTCAAGCATTTTTATCGACTGTTCACATGGATTTCGAAAAGGTCGCGGTAGTCAAACATTCTTTGCTCAAGTGGAGAGTTGGGGCGAGGTGGGAGCCGTACCCTATGGAGAGCATAGGGCATTTTATTCGTTCATATCATGCAACGGACTACAGTATCTAACTCCTATGAGTTAATACGCCGGCCGCTGAAAGACTGACGCAACTCGGCCGGGTTGGTATTACCAGTCCTACCCTCCTTATCCTTAGCGGGGTCTACTTCCTTTGCTATCCCTACCTCTACTTCCTTTCCCGCGGCGGGGGAAGCATGCCGGGAGCAAAGACGATGGATCTTGTTTATTTAGTAGTTCGCTCAGTGGATCCTTCGTTGAAGCAGCGGCTTACTCATAACCACCTCGGCCATCACCGGAGGCATAGACAGTGGCTTTTCGAGCAGCAGAACCGGTAGAACTCCCATCTATGGCAGTACCAGCAGCGGTGGAGCTAGCATATATACTTACCTGCATTAGATCAGGTCGAGGTCCGCAGAGGCGGGGCCAGAGGCTGTGATAACTTTAGTATATGGAAGCGCAGGCAGCAACGGGGATAGTGGCTTGGGACCCCGAGTGAGCCAGCAACATCAACGGATTTAAAAAAATTGTTATTACCAGTCAAAAAGTCCAGACACAGAAGTAGATCCTGTAGATTCTATTGATCCCGGTGATCCAGTCCCATAAGCTAGGAGTAGACCTAGCTTTAGAGCCAGCAGTTGGCCAGTTAAGCAAGGGAAAGTCCAGAAACTTTGACCATTAGGGGTAAGATTACAAACTACAACTATTACCGTAGTATTTTTACTTGAATATATTAGTAGCATCAAAACCACTGCAAGAAATTTTAGTGAATAAAGAAAACAAGGAAATACAAATCATCGCGCAAAAAAATATTCAGAAAGATCCCCATATTTCCAATTACCTAATAAGTCACTCTTCTCGTATCATCTATAAAAATCCAAAAGAAAAAGAAACAACAAACCACTCCAAACCTCTCTCGGCACCAAAGCCACAAACCTAAGCTTATTCCTTTGTATCTCCTCTCTCTTTGCTAAGGCAACAAAAAAAAGCTACACAACCTTTCTTCAAACCCAATGCCACCAAAACATATTCCTCCATCATCCTTAGTTGAAATTTCATCTAAAAAATTAAAATCCAACCAGTCCTTTTGCAGCCTGAGACATGGAGAGGACATCTAATACAGTAATCATGAGACAATCTTAATCAAGATTATGAAACTCTTCAGCTGGCTCTCACATGGGTTAATCATATCTAATCAGATTTTAGGGGAGTGATTCTACACCAGCTCCCTTGCCACTCCCCACAAATCAAAGTCATCCAAAACCTTTCATGTCGACCAAAACTTATAGGGGTTAGACAAACAAAATTGCTTCGAATCAATTCCAGGGAGATGTTTGAACTTTTTACATAATCAACCATAAGCAATGGAGACTTGAGACTTCAACTTTGTATGATTGATGGAGAGATATCAAGAGATGCATTTGCTCTTTGTTAACTATTTCAACTCTTCACTTCTGTGACTCTTTCATCAGCTTTCTCATCTTCCTAAAGATATTAACTTATAGTAGTTTCCCCCTTATTTTTATCCTCCCAAAGGTGTGATTTTACATCTCTTTCTTATATGCAACCAACATCCAATGTTGAATAAATGTGATTTGCACCTTGATTTAGATTTAAAAAAACCCAGTCTCTATTTGCCCACTAAACTAGTTTTGTCCCTTCTTACCCCTTGAACTATTTTTAGTCTATACATGCCCCCCTAAACTCTTGAATTCATTGCATGCTTGCCCACAAACTATCACTTTTCTCTCATAAACTAGCTTAAAACACTTACAAGGTGATGAAAAGTTGAAGTTGTCACTAGGTACTGATTTAATAGTTCGGGCGGTGAACATGGACGAATTTAATAGTTCAGAGGCATTCAGGGAGTAGAGACTAAAAATAGTTTAAGAGGTAAGAAGAGACAAAACTAAGGCCTTGTTTGTTTTCTAAGATAGTGTGAGAATCCAACAAAATACTGTGGAACCGACTCTACTTTTTCTCGGAAGTACCAATCCATCTACCTCTTTTGTTGTTTGGTACAAGTAATGACAAGCGGGGCATTCACAAAATTCGAGATAAGTATGTGGGATAACTAAGAAAAATCCGTTGGCAGAAATTGGAGCGAAATGGGAGAACTTAGGATAGATTTTAATATCATGGACCCCAATATGTATGTAAAAGAATAAAAAAATAAAGTAAGAAAAAAATTAAAAATAAAAATTTTAAAAATCATTTAAAAAGGATTGTTAATAAATTTAAAAAGTTTAAATATAATGGTTTCTACCTATTATCATACCTTACTTTAAATATAAAATCAATCTTTAGTGGGGCCATAAACCACTTTCCAACTGTATCACTTTCTTCTCAAACAAACAAGTATATTTGGATTCTCTTTTCAACACTAACTTTCCACTACACTATCCTACAAGCCAAGCTCAAAATTAAATATATAGATTGTCAAGGATTCTTTGAATTACTAACATTGTCGTAAATCCAAAGTACAAATCAAACATCTAAACATGACCTAATAGTTTTAGGTGGCATGTAGAGTTTGAATACCAAAAAAATAATACGATGAAATTTTTTTAAAAAAAAACCTACACTAGTTGCTCCCTTACTATTCTCCCTGACTACTAAAAGCCAACAAAACTATTCATAGTTTTTAATACACAATGTAGATAAATTCTCTAGAGTCTCTCCCTTAGTCAATATTAATAACTAAAAAAAAACTGCAAATTCCAAATCTGTGAAAGCTTAAAAGTCAATTTTATTTTTCCTATTAAACCATCAAACTACACCATTAGTATTGGTTAAACTCTATAACTGTAGAAAAAGCACGAGTTTTAACCTTGCACCTAAACATCATATAAGAATCATGTGTATGAAAAGGTTATAATCAATCATACCTCTTAAATTTAACAATTCTCTATGTTCCACTCTAATTTTGCAACTACAAATATGTGAAACCCAAAAATTATGTTTCTTTCCAATTTAAACATCCAATGGCATCCTTATTGTGGGCTGAACTCCACAGTGATCCTGAAAGCAGCATTTTATTTTCCTCTTCACAATCATGTAATCTACAACAACTTTTTGATATAGAAAGGATGAAATCTATCTTACCCTTTGTAATCAACAATTCTTCAAAAAGCCATCTCTCATTGCAGCAAAATTAAATAGATATAATCAGCAATTCATCCAATTGCATCAATAACTGAATATTTCTACAAAAAAAGGAAGCAATTTCAAACCATCTCGAAACCAAATCTCTATTTGTTTCCTCTATTTGTTTCCCCCAGCTAAAACATCCAATTGCATCCTAATTACACACCTATCCAAAAAGAAACAATTTTTACCCATCTCGAAACCATAAACAACCATCACACAAGAACTTAATGCTTTCATTAAATTAAAAAAAAACTAAGAAATAAATCATTACCTCTCTATCTCCCGCCCTCTTCAACCGCCAATCGCCCTAACCGCAGCCAAGATGACTGAGCCGAGAGCACCGGGTCTCCGCGGCCGCTCGACAGATCCCCGAAAGCGCCGGCCGCACTCGTACGCGCCTCTCGCCACGACGCCCGACCCCCGCCGCTCGACGTCCTCCCCCCAGTCCGCGCCGCCTCCGGCGAAATTGAGGGTAGCGGGGAGCCGGCAGCAGGGGGGCAGGATTGCGGCGAGGAGCCAGGGCTCGATGCACCGCACGTGTGGAACGACGTGACCCCCGCAGGAGGGATCATGGCGGCAGAGGAGGGAGGGGTCGGCGACGGTGGCGACTGAGAGGGCGTCGAGGATTGATTGGGGGACCGGCGACGGGTCGGGTTCGGTATCGGAGTCGGAGGTCGACATGGTTGGTTTTTTTTTAGATTTGTACGGATGCGAGAGGTTTTAATACTAGTGATTTGGGCCGGGCTTTCCTTGGATCTATTTACCTGAGGCTTGTTCAACCTCACAGGTCATTTCGATTAAGGGGCTGTTCGTTTGTTTTCTAAAAACCAAGAAATGGAAATGGAAATGGTGAAAATCTCAAAACTCACCATTTCCTCCATTTCCATCCCTAAAACTCACCCATAACATCCAATAAAATATTATTTCCATCCAACAACTCATCCACATCATCTAATAAAATATGATTTTCATCTAACCACTCATCCATCACATCTAATAAAATATTATTTTCATCTAACAACTCATCCATCACATCTAATAAAATATTATTTTCATCCAAACATCACTCAACTCATCTCTTCTCATCATTTCAAATCACTCACATCATCCAATAAAATATTATAACAATTCACCTCATCTCATTAACATTTCATTTCTTCATTTTCATCCCAAAAAGTTATGAAAACATTTTTCTTAATCTTTCTTCACATCACCCAATAATACAATGACAACTCATCTCATCTCATTTCATTTCTTATTTTTAAGAATGAACCGAACAAAAGAAAACAAGAAACTACAGGAAATAGGTTTCTTATAATCCATTTCCTTATTTTTTTTCGCCAACCGAACACTCCAAAACTAGTTTTCTTAAAAAATCACAAACATCATCCAATAATAAAGTGACAACTAACATCATTTCAATTTCATTTCTTTGATTTCCTTCTTTTTTAGCCAACCAAACACTCCAAAAACAATTCTTCATTTTAATAGTTTTCCATTTCTTTGATTTCCCTCTTTTTTTTTTAGGCAAACGAACAGGCCCTAAAGCCCAAGAATTAGATGGAAACTAGCTCCTTGGATCATCAGAAATTCTGTTGTGACCCAATCTAATATAAGTTGTTACGAATTAATCCCTCTAATTAATAATTTTACTACCGGTTTGGGGGATTAACTTTAAAATAGCTTAAGAATAATAGGGTGACCTGCTTGCAATTTGCACAATTTTAGGGATTAATTTTCGAATGGCTTAGCAATTAGGGGAGCTAATTGCAGTTTCAATAATTTGAGGAGCTACTTCCAAATAAAAAAGATTAAGGGGAGTAGTATCAAAAAACACGAAATTTTAAGAACAAAATTACTAATTCATCCCTAAAGTGTGGTGAATTCTCAAGTTTTCTACCTAAATATCAATGTATCTATTTTATCCTTCACGTTATGTTTATGGTTCTAATGTGGTTTAAATATCAATAACATGATAATTCTTTTTATTTTTTTTCCTTGAATTTTATCACTATGTCTCCTTTTTTTTCTCAAATCGAAAACAATCTTAATTACTCTTCCCAAAAATTTTACCCTTTAACCCATTCTAGGAATTTAAAAAAAATTATTGTAAAAAAATATGAAAAATGCAAATAT